CCTCTCTCTCTCTCTCTCTCTCCTCTCTCTCCTGTGGTTTGTGCTGTCTGCCTGACTCAGGCACTCAATCTGCCGATGCGTGATTGTGTGTGGGCTGCTCCGAGGGGGCCCTCTGTGCGATCCGACGGGTAGGGGGGCTGTGCCCGGGCGGTGTCCGGTGTGGAGTCCCCTTCTGATCCCGCCTGGGATGTTGGGTGTGAGGTTGTGGCGGCTTCGATCCCAAGGGGGGGAGCTGATCCCACTCAATAACCAACTCTCAGGGGCAGTAGGTGGGCGAGCTTCAGGCACGCTCATCTCGATCGTCAAGACGTTGCTACGCGCGGTCTTCCGCGGGGGGAGCTGCGTCGACGGGTGCGGGACCGCGGCGCAGCCAGTGCCGTGGCGATGCCTCCGGCTGTTTGCGGCGGGCGGCTTGCTGCTCGCTGCGATGGCGAAAAACTCGTCTCGCCACACGCCAAGGGCTTATGCTCTGGCGAGACGTGAGGCGCATGCGCCCAGGAGGGGAGGGGGCATGTGTAACGACACTGCTAGAGATGCCTTTCGGGGCCCAGAGATAAAACTTCTGTGATGCCATGCGTGACCTAGTAGTGTCCCCAGCTATGGGCGTGTCCACGTTGGAGCCAGGTGTGGTGTGGGCGCGAGAATAGCTCCGCCGTTCATGGAGGCAACCGATGCGAGTCGACTGGTGTGTGTCGTCGTGGTTTCGTATCAAGAATTCTCTCTCTCTCTCTCTCTCTCTCTCTTCTCTCTCTCGCTGCGCTAGGCCCAGACGGCGAGTTCGCGCTGCGCTAGGCTCACAGATGCGAGTGCGCTGCGATAGAAGAAAAAAACAGGGTCGAAACGACAACCGAAGGGAGGACTGTGTAGTGTAATCATGTGTCAAGAATCACGTGCTGCTGCTGCTGCTGCTACTGCTGCTGCGGCGCGGCGAGCGCCGTCGCCGAGGCGGGCCTCGGCGGAGAGCGCGATTATGCGGCCTTTTCCGCGACCCGCACAAAGAAGAGGCGCCCTCCGTCAGCCTCGACCTGCCACCGGCTCGCGTCGACCGACCCGGCCGCGTGCCACACCTCCACAGCCCAGTGCGCCAGCCCGCAGAAGTTGCCCTCCTCGATGCCCCATCCCGTGGGCCACGCGGCCAAGGCGGTGCCGAGAGGCGGCGGCGGCGCCGCGGTCGCCTCGAGACGCGCCGCGACGGCGTCAAAGGCGATCCGCCTCGCGCCCGTCGCGGCCGCCTCGGCCAGCAGCGCCTCCCCGGCCAGCCGCGGGAGGTCGCCCTCCGTCTCGAACCAGCACGACGAGCGGCCGTCGGCGCACGCCTCGTCCCACGCCTTGAGCTGGCGGACAAAGGCCGCCAAGCTCTTGAGGCCGGGCGAGGGCGCGGCGGGCGACGGGGCAAGGGA